AAGCGGGGGGATTTAAATCCCTGCTTCATTTGCAATTGCGATGTGTCTAATTTGCATCCCTTTTACGGAAAAGGAATGCAGTCTAGACACAGCCTAAGAGAACCCAGGACGAGCAACGCTGACCCCTAGCCTGGGAGCCGGGGAATGCAGCCAGTAGAGCTGAGCTGCAGGGCAATACTTAGTGAAAGGCAAAATCCCCAGCCCATCAGCTCTCCTGCCAGACTCTGCTGTCGGGCTCTGCACCTGGATTCTCTTTCGCTCTCACCTTGGTCCAAAGTAGGCCTGATGATTGGAGGGGGGACAGGCACACGCGCTTCCACAAGAGACTGGGCCACCAGCCTGTGAGCGGAAGAATGTCCCTGCCACCATGGGACCTTCTGATGTGAGGATGGATTTGTTTGTGTCCACTCCCAGCTCCCCATTCGCAGGGGCCTGCAGGTTTTTCACGTCTAAGCCTGGAAAGGAGAGGCGAGGGCTCTCTCTAGTCTTCCTCCCACATTGCCTTTTGTCCATGTAGGCCTCATGACCCCAGAGGAGCACAAGAAGTTTGAGAGCCTGAACTCTCCCCACAACAAGTTCTGGATCCCCTGCGTGTGGTTCTCAAACCTGGCTGTGAAGGCGCGGAACGAGGGCAGGATCCGGGACAGCGTGCTGCTCCAGGGCATCCTGAACGTGAGTTCATGGGCAGCCGCAGGGCATGCTGGGCCCCAACCCGCCCTGCCCGCCTCATTGGGACTTGCTGCCGGTTCCCAGCCCAGGGAGTAGGCAGGGTGAGGGGAGGCTTAGGTGCTGCCCCAGTCACATCCCTGCAGCGGGAAACACACCCGCTCATAGCGATCACCCAGTGGAGGGGTGAAAATGAGACAGTCGTCCAAGGCGCCAGGGGGTTCACTTGCGCAGCAACTGTGGGAGACGGCCCAGGATGCTAGACAAGGACTGTGGCTCTTCTCTCACATGGCTTGGCAATGCCGTCAGCTCCAGGGGGGTGACTCTCCGTTTGCACCTGTGTGAGAAGAGAACTAGGCCTGGAATCCCCTCCTGACGCCACTTGAACAAGGGATAAGCCTGATCCTGCCGGTGGTGGAGAGGGAAGGGCAATATCTGCCAATGGGCAAAGCCTAGGAGTGACTGCCTTGCCCTACCTGGCAATTGTGCCCTGCCGGGTGTTAAAGTCCCTGTGGTGGAGCAGTCGGGGGGTGGGGAAAGGGGGAGAAGAATGGGAGGGAGGAGGGAGTGGTAGCTTTTTTGTGGAGGGGAGCCATTCCTTTTTCTCTGTTCTTGCCCCCTCCAGGAACTAAACACCTTGCGGAGCCAGTGCGGGAGACTGTATGGGTATGACTGGATCAGCATCCCGCTGGTCTACACCCAGGTGAGTGCAGGAGGCCTTCTGCAGCCACTACCCACGCAATGGCCTCTGCAAGGAGAATTGCGGCCACTGGCGAGAGTAGGTGCTGGGAAACAGGCAAGGCTCTTTCATACATGTGGGTCTCCCCATGGACCCCCAGAAATACCCCATGGGCACCCATGGACCCCCCCAATTCACACCCTATGGGCATAACGTCCCCACGCAGCCATACACCTGAATTAACTCTACCCCCCACGCCCCAAAGCCTGCTCCTCCGCCTGTAAGTGCATCAGCTTCTCTCCACTCAGCACTGCTGGTGCCTTAGCCCCAAGGTCCCTGCACTAGAGGCGCTGGGGAGCGCCGCTCAGCTCTGAGTGGGAGGCGCCCTCTTGGCTCTGTGTGTGCACAGAAAGCCGTTTATCTGCGTGAGACACAAGGCGCTCTGACGGTCAATAGCGCTCTGGCTGCTGCCCCAGGATAGACAGCTTGGCACCAGCCCCCTCTTTGTCTCATACAATGCAGCTGCTCAGGCACTGCTCCCTCCCACCAATGTGGTCTGCTGTGAAAGAGGAACAGCGCCTGTTCCAGATGGCTGCAAAGGTTAGCGTGGGATTGAGCGAGTGCCCGGTGCAGAGCAGATCCTCCTGCACACCAGGATCAAAGGCAGGAGAATGTCAAGGCCACAGCTAGTCCCAGTGGTGTCTCACAGGCGCTCGGTCACTACGGGAGGCCGCAGGATGTTTTCCTGGAGTGCATGGGTTAGAGCTTCACCGCCTCTGCCCACACCCTCCTGCGCTACCCCCGTTGGCTCTGCACAGCATTCAGCCCTTCGGGGTGACTAGACATTCCTAGGCAACAGGAAACTGTAGCGCTGAAGCCATGTCCCAGAGCGCAGAGTGGGGGATCCAGTTAGTAATGGGACAGGGACCGGGGTTCATTAGCTGTGGAGCCAGGGCCAGACAGCGGGGCAGGAGCAGCCTGCTGAGACTGACCTGCCTGGGTGAGTAGAGGCCAAGCACTCAAGGAAGAAGCGTCTGTCTATGCAGGAACCTTCATCTTGAGAATGGAAACACAACGGTTTCTGCTTCCAGCCACCTGCCATGGGAGTTCTGGCTGAACCAGCCCCCTGACCACCCCACGCAGGGTCAGCCATACATGTCCCCATGGGCCAGGGGGGTTTCCAGAGCAGTGCTGCCAACTCACAAGTCTCGCCGTCGTGGGTGGTGCAAGGAAAGTCCCAGCTGCTGGAATTAGGAGCTTGCCGGAGACGCTCAGCTTTCCTTTAAAATCAGTTTCCAGCCCCCACGGGTACAGAGACAGTGTGCTCCGCGTGCAGCCCGGCAGCTGAGAGACCAGAAGGCAAATTCAAAAGCCAGTCAAAAACCAAACTCTGACTGTTTAATTCAATCCCATTATTTCTGGGAGCCTGATTCCTGACTTGTAAATGTTTGGGGTTGGCACCATGACAGGTGCCCCGCTGGGAATTGTAGCAAACGCCGGCAGTGGATTCATGCTTGGATTCTTTCCACTGAGAGCAGTGCAAGAAGCAGTGGGCAAAGAGACCCATTGCGCTGGTCGGTGCTTTGTCATCCAGGGGGTGGTCTCTCTGCAGCGGGAGCGGGCCTGGCATGATGCCCCCCACCCCATGGCAGTGTTTTGTCAGCCCGGCGAGACATCGAGCACTCACTGAGGGACATTTTTCTGGGGGCGAGAGAGGGAGAATGGATTGCACTTCCCAGCACTACTGCTGACTTGCTGTGCAGCCGCCTTGTGCTTTAATTTCCTCGTCAGCCCTCGTGGGGCATTGCTGCCCAGTGCCCCTGAAAACATATGCTTTGCTGGTGTCCGGCAGAGGGACAACGAGTTGTCAGTGCTGTCTCTGGGGCTAGCTGTTCTCTTAGCCACAGGCAGTACGGATTGGGGGGATGGTTAACTTCAGCACCCCCCAGGTTTGGGGCATCCTGGCCCCACATCCCTGCTACCTGGGTCTTGGCAGCTGATCCTGCCCTTTGAGGCCCTGGATGCTGGGCCCATTGCTGATCAGGGGCATTGCTGTTCGAGCTTCTGTTTGCCCATGAATCCTAGGTTCCACGTGCCAGGGAGCTGCCAGCTCGGTGCTTATGGGCTCCTCTGCTGGGCCCCACATGTGGGGTCCCGCCTGGTTGCCAGCCCCAACTCTAGGGGGCAGCGAGGTGCACAGGCAGGGGGGGAGAAGGAGGATGCAGCTCAGCATCTCCACTCCAAAAACTGGTCCAGAGCCATTGTTTCCCCAGGGTTTGCTAGTCATTGAGACACCAGCACAGCCATGCAATGTAAAGTTAGTGCTGGGGGTAGGTACATTTCAAAACGGCTACTGCAGAAAGACA